TTACAAACTTGTTTACCAGATGACTAAACCAGTGTTTCTCATACCCAGTTCTCATGGATCCCAGACAGTCAACCTTTTACCTCTGGAAGCTGCAAGGAAGCAAAATGTGGACAGTCTGGGGGGATCCACAAAGACCAGACTGAGAATCACTGGACTGAACTACATCCTAAAATGATCATTTAACATGATAATGTTTGATAGTACTGACCTGGTTTCATACCAGTGAGTGGTTTAAACAAAACACATGTTTTTATTTTCTTTAAAACTTATGGAGAAATTCAAATGTTGCATATGTGTATTTCTTTACCAAAAATTTGTCTAAGTTTATTCTCCATGTAATGAATACATTTCATTTTTATGGGACCATCGCTTCTGTATAAGAATTAAAAAATATTTGTATATACCTGTTAGTTGTATTCCTGGTTTGTTTTAAAGAAGTATTAAAGATGTAGTTTGATGTGGAGATATTGTTTTTTTTGCCATGGAAGTGTATTTTGACTGTCACCCTCATTATGGGATGTGGTTATTTGGGTCTAGACTGTGGCTCTTGAGTGAATTCAAGTATGATAAAATTACATGTTCCCAAGAATCTTTATTCGCACAGTCAGACAGTTCAACTCAAATTTTCTATGGATTTTTTCAGTGCCAAGAACCACAAAGACAAAAGCAATAAAGCAAATAAAACACTAATACCATTCTCTAAATTGTGCCACACAGTGGGCAGCCCAGTTTTGGAATATTTCATGATTATCGACTACATAATGTGAAATATATTGAATAATTGTCTAAAATATAGCTGAAGGCATCTCATTATTCATTGCAAAATTTGTTTTCAGAAGTCCTATAACAGGATAATAATCCTCTTTAGTGTTTCATATTGTTGGTGATTAATAAGAGCCAGAAGTTATGAACCAAACTGTGGCTCAAAAGCGAAGTCTGAATGGAACCATGAATTTGGAGAATCATTACACCCTGAATATAAACATTAGTCATCACTGACATGGTACATTGTGGTCTGTCTGACTGTGTTCTGTGTCGATGCAACAGCTCAGAAGCCATAACATCTTGAAAAAAAGAGATACTGTGGATAATGTAAAAAGACATTGGTGGTACTTTGGCAATTTAAAGTTCAACAGGCAAATGACTGGTGCTGTGTACAGTAAACTCGGCCAAGAACTTGTGCTACTTAAAACCGGAAACACTGACAACATATTTCACCACCTGAAGCACTGTCATTCAGTAGAACATCCAGAATACATGTACTTGGGACAAGTAGCAACTAGACCTAGGAGATATTGGTTAGGTATATTTGTTTGTTTACAGGATTGTTCTAAATGAAGAGGAACGGCATTCTTCAGATTTTGGCAGCCCAGTTTGACTAGCCAATATAAAAAAGACCATTTGTAAATGTATATTGACTCGAGAAAACAATAAAAAAAACAAACATTCTAAAGGCCATTCTCATCTTTTCACGTTAACCACACAATGGCATGGGCACCAGCAGCAAACTTGGAACACAGCAGTCTGTCAGAATCGCAGGAGCAAAGCAAAAGGAAACAACTCCTAAGACGGCAATCCCTGCAGCCGCATTGTGGCCAAACATCTCAATATTTGTCTCACCTGACTAAAAAACTTTCCTTCAGAAGGCTGTATCTTTGTCGATGTCATCAGTCACAAACTTGAAGCTTGAAGGTGCTGATTCTGTAGCAGGGGCTTCGTTCTTGGACGGCGGGCTCTCATCCCATGACGACATAAAACTCTCTTGACTGTGGAGAGTGACAACGGTGTTCCAGCAGCTTCCAGACCATGGTAGACATGTGCCTTGATGGTTCTTTGGTTGCATCTGACCATGCATACTACTTTCTTCTCAGCTGAGGGTGACAGTTTGGGTCTTCTTCCAAACCTTGGCAAAGAGACTACCGCTCCATATGACGTGTACTTACGAACAATTGTCTGAACTAATGATCTTGGGATCTGTAGTTGTTTAGAAATTATTCCAAGAGACTTGTGTAAGCATACAGTCCTCTTTTTCAGATCTGCACTGCGTTCTTTGGACTTTCTCACTGTAACATGTATTAGTCAATCTAATGAGGTATGTCAAATGATCCATTTTTATGTTTCCACAGAGAAGCTACTAGCTGTAGTGAATCATGATCACTAACAAGCAGTTAAGAGGCTTTGGCACCAATTTAAAAGACCGAATTAATTATCTAAGCAGGTGTATGCAAATTTTGACTGTTGGTTTCAGAAAGCCGACAATAAATTAAATCTCGTCCATCCAATTTGTAATTTTTTTAGTTTTATTTTTTATAAAGTTGTGTGTTATATAATCATTCTGCCACAGAAAAAGAACAGTTGTAGAAATCATTGTAGAAACTGCCAGGACAAACATGTTACCATATCAGGGGATTGGTATTGCTGTCTGCATCAGGAGGCTGCTGGACTGTAAGACAAGGCAAACTTGTCTTACAAGTCATATACACAAGTCAAACACAAGTTATATGGAACAGTAATCTGCCAAGTAGCAACAAAGTAGAACTTCTTGAAAAAGCTGCTCAGTGTTGTTCTACATTTTGGCTGGTATAGCTGCATCATCTCCTCCATCTCCACCCACTGCATTAGTTCTAAATGTGAGAGTAGCTTGTGATGTGCTCTGACATCCAATCAGCATGACCCACAGCTCTGGATTCTTGGCCTCAACCATATCATCTTTCATGCAGTAGGTCTTGAATTGAGGATCAACTAGGGATTCCAGGTTCAGGAGTGTAAGGCTGGAGGCCTTGCAGGCCCCGTCGGTCTGAGCTCTGGCAAGCCTGTAATGCTCCACCCAGTGTCCTGAAGCAAAGGTCCACCGGCTCCGACAAGACTGGACCCAAATCACCTGATCACCACATCAAAAGGGACACCTCACCCCCACTGGGCGGCCAGAACCCTGCAGCCAAATTCCAGCGACAAGGCCTGGCTGCGTCAAGACACAGATGCATCCTACATTCACTAACTCACACTTACACAGAAGGTATACATTAGGGACACACACACCCATGTTTGGTCTCGTTTGAATAGTCACAGTACGATGGGTACCATACTCTCAACCTTAAAGCGCCATGTTTTCACATAAGAGAAATATAGAAAGTAAGACTAAACCCA